AGATCCCAAATTCACCAGATCGCTTGCGAGCCCATGCGCCATCGTCTTGTCTTCCCATTTCTTTCTCGAACACGACGATTGCACATTTTTTTGAGTGGTTTCCCATCCAATCGCCGGCATGCAAGCGACTGACTCCCAATTGTCAATGTCCGCGTCAGACTCAGGCCAGAAAATGAAAAAAGGACAACAACGGATGTTGGCCGCATAACCAACTCAACTCCACATGTTAACGAAGGAAATGAACCTTCACATCGACTTATTGCGTCCCTTGGGAATAGGGAAGGGAGGTGAATAGGGAGTTGTCGATCCCTGGATACGTGAAAAAGGTGGGACGTGATAATCCTTATCAAGCGGAAAGCTACAAATCAAGGTCGGCTTCTCGGAATCGTACAGTCATAACCCCAACTTCTAACCATCACGTCAGCTCCAAGATGCGTACAGTGGTCAAGGTGCTCACCTCCCCTACACCCCCCACACGATGTAAAGTGGTACAACGAGGGCCAATAGAAGCAATGACCAAGGTCTACTGCGCAGCTTTCTTCTTCTTCTCCTCAATACATTCCACATTATTCTCTGGAATACCTTTCAATATCCCAACCGCTTTGCCTTCGGGTTTGACTAGCATGTCGAGGACTTCGTCTGACACGTCGCCTGCAAGTGATGTAATCAGGGAGCGAAGACAAGAGGAGAGGTGATGAGATATACCTTGTACGACGACCTCATCTTGGCCCTGTAAGTTTTTCGTCACTGATGACCCGGTGGCGAATCGTTGAGCAAAGAGTTTGGCTGCTGCTTTCAGGTCGATATCTGAGGTGTGGTTGGTCAGGAGAACAAAACGAAAGACAGGGTGCGGGAGGATAGGGGGGAGGACGTACCGAATGCTTCGAGGCCGTGTATGGCAGTGACATATTTATTCTTTTGTCGTTGTATGCGCTTGATCGTCACCTACGATCATCGACGGGGTGAGTGGAACGTTGAGTCTTCGAAACGATGGAGAATATAGGGAGTTGGACGTACTTGTGATGCCTATTCATACACAGATGTGGGCCAGTCAAAGTCGCAATACGAGAGACACATTAGCAAGATACGATAAAAGAAAAGGTAATCCTAACAGGAGGGAAATAAAACCTCACCATCTTCTTCTTCAACTTCGCATCTGCCTTTGCTTCAGCTTTGGCTTCTTTCTTTGCAACATCTTTCTCGAGTTTGGATTGGGCTTCGAGGGACATTGTGCCTAGTTTCGCTTGCAATGCGTCTTGAGATGATGATGATGATACGGCGCATGATTCAAATGGACGTCGATTTTATAAAGTAAGGTGGACGATCAGCGATGAAGAAATGGAAATGGGACAGTCAGGTGAGACGATCGGGAAACGAGAAGGGTAGATCAGCGAGGGCGGAATGATGCACCAGGAGAATTGGATACGTACCTTCAGAATAGTACTTATCAAACAATTCTTCATGTTCAGCCTTCAACCATTCTCTACATCTCGTAATACTCGATCCAAACTCGCAGAATTCGACGGGGAACGTGCAAACTGGTCGTCCCCGATGAGATTGGAAGCGGATGGCGAGTAAAGCAGGAAGATCAAAGAAATCGTGGGGTCAGATTTCGCCAGAGATTGAGTATGAAGAATGCGGTCACAAACCTGCACAGTAGAGAACAGATACGGGCGCGATGGGTTGCGGGCCTGCTTCGGGCTGTTCAGAGGACATGGTCGTCGATGATGGGTGTGTGACTCCTGTGATGTCGCTGTCACGACACTCTTGTATCGTTGAACCACGTCCAAGGTGGCTCCTCCAGCTCACCAGTGCAGGTTCCATCCTTCCTCCAAACGGCGACGCGAACCCACAAGTTCGATCACCTCGACTAGCCAACTTGCCTTGTCTCCAAGCCTTGACGCCCCCATATTAATATTCCACCATCACTCCAACATCTCGTACGCTTTCGCATCTTCTCGCACCATTGACATCAAGTATCAACCTTGCTGGCGCTGCTGTACACTCTAGAGTACTTTTAGGACATCCTTCTTCCTCTAGATTCGCGTTTGACTCGATTTGGCGAATATGTTCGACGAGTTCCGTGCGAAGTGTGATGTCGAACTTCATTTCGCATGTGGCAAACGTCTCTACATGTCAATTCTGAACCTTTCCCTACTGGCTGCTTCCTGAGTTTTCAATCGGTTTTCGAGACGGCCCTCCCGCCGCACCTCATTCTCGACAATTCCTCCCAAAGGTGCTTTCGGTGTCTGGTTCCTCCGATGGAATGGTCTACAGACCTTGAATCTTCTGGAGGGCGATGTCGGTGTTCTCTGCACTACCTTGCGGAGATCTCACAGAACAAGGGAAGTGCGGGCAGCGACTCGGATATCTTCTGTCCCACGCTCGAGGCTCTTAAGCTCAAGAGGATTGGTTATGGGTATGTCGAGGGCAACGCATTAGAGGAGCAGTTGGTTCCAAGCTTGCTCGATGTTTGATGGAGCGGGTAGAGAATGAGTAACGACCCTTTGAGCTCTCGTTTGAAGTTAATAAGGAGGACAGCGGTGTTTTGAGTACCCTCGTTGAACATTTGGCCACAGAGACTCTTGGTATGTCTATTATTCTTGGGGAAATGATCGAATCGCTTCTGACGAATCTCGGTCGGTCCCCTCTAGTTCGCCAAATCTCGGATCTCTTGGTAAGACCGTTACTTTTGAGTCTCCACCTTTCTCTGACCGATTTGGAATCTGAAACGTACACTGTGATGTTGGCCCTAAGTTGACGCCTTCACAATCCGATATGGTGTAACGGCTAACATTGCCGCCTTTCATGGGGATATCCCAATGGTCGCGGCAGCTCGGGGTTCGATTCCCCGTATCGGAGTCAGCTGACCATCACGCCCTTTTTGCCGCTCTAATCTTCTCGTTCGTTTGACCCCATTATTTATTCGAACTGCTATTATCACAAAACCAACGTTGCCATTGTCTCGTGTATTTTACATCCCCTCTCTATTCCTCTTCCCCTCAGGTCCCCTCCCACCTCGACTACCCCCATGAGGCCCCTCCCCTCTGCCACTAACCCCACCTTTCCCCTTCCCCTCATCCTCATTCCACTTCTCCTTCCCACCATACCTCAAATCAGATTGACCTTCTTGCGATGATGGAGTCGAAGCTGAGTAGGGCTCGGTTTTGCTCACGCTGGATGGACATCGGTTAGAGTCGAAGTGGAAGAGATGGTTGGTCGAGAAAATTATGGGAATAACGGGGTGGAGCGTGTCCAAAGAACGAAATCGATTCGCCCACATCTAAGCACCTCAACCGAACCAATCGAGCCATAGGGAGTACATCTCCGTACCGAAACACGATCACATCCAACAGCTTCGTCGCCAACACAAACATGAACAAGGTCCTCGCCAGACCATCGCTCCAAATGGCCAATCTTCCCGTCAATCCGCGATAAAATGAAATGGCTCACCTCTCATACCCTCCCACATCCTTCCCGTCCTCTCCCTCACCAACCCCAGCACGACTCCACTCCCCACTAGCAGCCTCACTAGCTCTCTGCACCTGCGCCCCTCCCTCCGTATCAGCATCAGCAACAGTATGCGTCTTCTGATCAGGCGGAGGCGAAGAATCTACGTCCTTGAAATAACTCTCCGCCGAATGTTTCGCTTGGAACGGAGCCGCAGAGGTGAAGAATCCACGTCTCGACGACGAGATCGCAGAGGTTACGAAACCTCGTTTTTGTTGTGACTTTTCTGGGATGGAGCCTTGAGTCGAGTTGGTATCGGGTAAAATGGAGTTGGCGAGAGGCGTCCATCCACCTGTGGCAGGTTCGGGCTCGGAAGCTTTCTGGACCTGGCTACCTTCACCATGCAAATCGGCGACTGTATGCGTGGTCTTATCGGGTGGGGGAGTCGTATCCGCATCCTTCATATACGAATCTGTCGTGTGCTTCGTGGTTTTCGAATTCGAGGAAGAAGTAGTCGAGAAGGAACGACGTTGGGTCTTGCCTCCTGCTGGATTGGTTATCCTATCGACTTCCTCTCCACCACTCTTCGACCGACGAGAAGGCAGCTCTGGCTCCTCACCAGCGTTCTTCTTATGCCTCAAATGCTCGTTCTGCTCTCCATAGGTCGGCTCTTTCGGCTGTCTAGCTGCATCAGGGACCCCTCCTGCTCCAGCTCCATTACCTGCTTCACTGACGAACGCGCTCGTGTGGAATTTTCTGTTCCCAGCTTGTCTCGGACCAGTACCGGTACCAGTCACTCCTTCCCCACCACATCTGTTCTGCTTAACCTCTCCGGCGCTCGTTCCTACACCCAAGGCTTGCTTCACGCTTGCTACGAACCCGGGAGCGGAAGCTTCTTCCTCTCCTTTCTTCCCATGTTCCCCTACTGTGCCTGAACCAGGTGACGAAGCAGATTGACTACCGACTTGGTCGGTGAAACCTACGCCTTCGGGGTTCCCGCCTTTCGGAGTATGTTTCTGGTGCTGGGAGGGTTCCGACGAGGAAGCGTCAAGAGAGTAAGAGTCTGATGAAGATGCGCGTTGATTGATACCGGATGAAGCGGATTGTGATTGGGGGTCTCGAGGAGATTTGTTGGAGGGGGAGGTTGTGTGACCTTGAGAGATGGACGCGTCTTGGCCGCCGGATGTGTTGGAGGCGAAGAGGGTGGGTGACGTGTGCAGCAGTCGGGCGCGGCTGAGCGATGTACGGAGGATTGTTGTGCGTGTTGAGAGCATGTTGGATGGGGGCGACAAGCATGAACGGACGTCGTTTATGTATGGTCAGACGGAGTGGGAGTGTGCGTCACTCTAATTCCATGATGTCATATCTCACTCCTCTCGATCATTCTTCTATCCTTGAATTTCATTCATGTCAGACAACAAATCCCTCCTCATCTATGCAACGTCGGGCCATGCCCCGCAAGAAAATGTACATGGAAATTCAATGAATGGAAGAAAAAAAAGTAGTAGCAATTTCTCGTCTCCTCCAAAATCCATAATCAACTTGTGGAACTCCGATACGGGGAATCGAACCCCGAGCTGCCGCGATCAATGGGATATCCCCATGAAAGGCGGCAATGTTAGCCGTTACACCATATCGGACAATGGGAGTTCAGAGACTCATACGGTTATGATCACAACACAGCTGTGATCAATCTTCGGAACGTCGAAGTTCCACGCGCTGACATAGCCATCTATTGTTGTTTGCATAAATCGTGAGAATCTCAGTTTCCGCAAAAGAAAGGCGGCGCAGAAATTCGGCGGAAGACATGTTTGCAGAGACTGTACAAGCCAAGGTATAGACACAATTCGACTTGTATTCCACTCAGTAAAATAGCCCCTATACCCTACTCCAAGGTTGAACCGTGGCGGGAACCGCATGGGATGGTTCAATCCTCAACTCTCCGCCCTCCATATCTCAGAATACAACTCTGCAGCCTGGTCAAATCAGGCTTCATCACCATCATACGGTCAGTATGAGTACGTGGTAAATCGCTCACACAAGGAACATCTAATGCAATGGAGAAACTCGCGCCACAATTCCGCCCCCACATCCACAAGAACCCACACTCCAGAAATCGCGGCGACAAAAGATCTCGAGGGTGCATGGTGCGACACAAGTCCAATATGAAGGCCCCTGCAAGTCGTGAGTGGTCGGAGAAGCAGCCGCTATGATGCTAATTGTCGAGGTTTGGGAGAATTGACAAGTCGAGTTTGGCGAGTCCGTTTGCTGCCATTGCTTCGCATGGTGGTTCGGGCATATTTTACGAGTCGAACACAGTATGGAAAGTAGAAGTAAGCAGCGTAGTGAGGGTTCGAGAAGTGATTCTTGCGACCAATTTCCCGTTCGCGTTTCTCTCGCGGAAACTGAGATTCTCACGATTTATGCAAACAACAATAATGCGAATACCATCAGGTTGTGCCCCCTTCTACAACGGTCCGAGGGCAAAAGCGGCATACCAGGATACACCAACTGGATCGTTGACTATCGGATGTCCTGAGGCAGGAACTCAATCCATGTCACACGTGTCGCACTTCTCGACTGGCAAAGAGCTCTCAGGTCAGTCTGCCACAGACATGCTTCGACTTTGGGCCATCTCTCCCTCCAAACAAAGATAACAATCTACTGTCTTCCAACACGGGCCCGGCAGGGTAACCATCACTCGCCAATAACATAAGTACAACCCTCCTCCCCAATCCAAACTTCGTGAACCTGATTCGCGTCGACGTCTATCCTCCCTCCCACCCCGAACGTCTCTTTCTCAGCGTCCACTTGGCCTTTGGTGGGGTAAGCGATGGTGAGAGAACCGGAGAGGATGAGGTGGGTTGTGAGGGAGGAGTGGGAATGGGGGTTGTAGTGGTACTTTCTGCATTGTGTCTTAGCGTGGAAGAAGAGATGTTGAGAGGGAAGGTTGGGCGTACGGTGAGTCGGTCCAGGTGAAGACGTGTGAGAAACCCCAGGAACGAACGAGTTTCTCGGCCTCTGCTCTCGTTAGGGACATTGTGGTGGTGAATATTGCGGTAGTGGTTTGCGTGTGGGTTGCTGGGAGAGATCCTGAGCAGATGAGGCGATGGTAAATTGGCGCCAAAGATAGAGGACAGATTGGATTGGAATAGATGGAATGACATCATCGTTCCCAGTTGAGACGGGGATAACGACTCCACAAGTTTTCTTGGGCCTCCTGCTAAGGTACTTATGGCTATTGGAACGTCGGGAATATCTCTGACCAGCTGCGAGTGGTCTGTGGAACTAACCGCCTTGCAGCATTTGAGGTCAGGACTGAGAGCACATGGTGATGGAGCGAGGGGGCGACGAGTGAGCCTCGAGTCCAAACCTCCTGCATGTGATTCGACAGTGAGATGTGAGACTGGCACAGATTACCTGGACGATGGAGACCGAGCAAGCTCACCGAAGACCAGATGGCCCTGGGGAATATGCTCAACACCGGAATAGTGACTCCTCGATTGACGTCGCCGACGAATACGTGTCACAATTGACGTTTGGAAGGTTCAAGATCGGTTCAGGCTTCATGAACTTGAACTTGGAGAGAAGGGAGGTGACATCTGTGACAGCGTGACCCCTCAGCAAGTTGATTTTACTACTTTCCATCCTCTCCAGCATCAGCGGCCCTCTTATCGTTATAGGCGATTCGTTGCAACACAGTCGGCAGGTATAAAATCATCCTCGACCACCCTTTGCCAGACGCCAGTGAAGAACAATGGCCGCTCATTTGATTCTGTGGCATGAAGAACGGGGGAGGGACCCACGTAGCCACAGGACAAGCCGGCTCATGGTGGACTTGGTGGTCAAGCCACGGCTATTGTACTCGTTTCGTTGATCCCTGCCTATAAAGGAACAACCCAAAACTACATGGAAGTTTGAATCCCCTGGACGAACTCAGCTTTCGATACTCTCAGGTAAGTCTATAACTTTCCCTCGTACACGTCCTAGTTGATTGAAAACACCCACCATACTACTAGTTCACTTGCGTGCTCTACTATCCAACTCTGGAATTATACCTTCCAGGCCTCTCGCTATCATCATGACTCTAGGTGAGCTGCCGCCTCACGAATCAACCCTTCGCCACATATTCATCCGTGACGAAGATGCCCCTTCCAAATTCCTTTCCACCGCGTCATTTCTTCAGGCATCCCGCTCTAACTTGTCGGTTCCTAGTAGAGTCGACCTAGTCCACGAGGTCGCTCATCTTGAGGATGAAATCGTCCTCCTCCCAGCTCGAATTGCTGCGCTACAGCAAGGCACGGGGATTGCTGCTCTAGCAAAAGACCAGATAGACTCTCTGGCTCGAGAACTGGAAGACACTCGAACGCGGTTGGACCTCATCAATTCTCTCCTCTCACCCATCCGTCGATTACCCCCAGAAATTCTCGCTCAAATATTCCACGACATTGATCTCCACTACAAACACCCACTCGACATTCGCGATCCAATCCTGGAAGTGTGTTGGCATTGGAGAGAAGTTGCGCTCCAAAACCCGACCATTTGGTCGTCGTTCCAAGCAGAGTGCGATCTCCCGGATTCTGAGGAGGCGACGAGGGAGTCCCTAAATTATTTCAGGAATTTCTGGGCATCAGCTCTGGCCGTCTTACTCTCCCGATCCGGCGAGTCTCCCTTGACGATCTCCCTCGCCGTATCCATATTTAATGCAGGCCCGATATTCGCCGCTCTTTGCCCCCACGTCCACCGACTGAAAGAAGTCCGCCTCACAAACTGGGGTGATAGCATCCACGGCGTCGTACCACTCCTCCATGCAATGGTCGAGAGGGATCCCGTCCTCTTGGAAACTCTCATCATCGCCGATGAGCTAGAAAAATCTGCCGATCTCCAATCGTTCCGAGCACCTCGCCTTCGGACCGTCGCTCTCCTCCATCAGACCAGGCCAGCTCTGATAGCCTTACCGTGGTCACAACTGACGCACCTCCACCTGGGCAACCCCGACGAACGCCAGGACACATTCGCCCTGAATAGTTGCTTTGATGTGCTCAGGCAATGTGTGGAGCTCACTCATTGTTGGATAGGCTGCCGCACTCGTCCCCGATTGGAGTCCGAGCAAATCGTGGCACCAATCAGACTACCGAAACTTACTTTCCTCAGGATTTTTGGGACGTTTGGTGATAGATTGTTGTTGGAACATCTCGTGGTTCCGTCTTTGGTCGACCTTCGATATTTCCCAAAGGACTCTTCGGGAAAGGGGATGATCAAATCGATCAGGGCTCTTGCGGGATGTATTGAGAGGTCTTCGTGCCGTCTTGAGACCCTGGAATTGAACGTGAAAGTGGGTTGGATAGAGGGTCTATCTCACCTATCGACTGTCACACACCTTCAATTCTTCTTGGACCGGCCAACTCGCCACAAAGATAGGACATTCTTCGATATGATATCCCACCACCCCTCGTCCCTTCAATATCAACATTCATTGTCCCTGCCTCGATTACAGCAAGCCACGTTTGTTCTGGAAAGCTATTCTGAGCGAGATTTGGACACGATGCTCGCTTGGATCTATTTACGACGCGATGCTTTGCCCTTTGGGGATACGGGCAACGCGTCGTCGGCGTCCACCGTTGACTTTCCGATGCGACTACTTCGCGCAGAGTTTATATTCTTGGAGGCTTTTTCGAGGGCTGAAACTGAATGGGTTGGTGACCTCATCTCGGTACGGCTCAATAGTTGCATTGAGGGTGGTCTTGAATTGCTTGTCACGCACGATTCTAGCGGGTGGTCTATCATGTATCTGCCATGAGGGATGGGTCGTGGTTATTTGGAGGTTTTATGGGCAACGAGACGAAAGAGTCGAGTCGAGTAAACAAGACCGTCTTTTCGAGAATAATTGTTACCAAACGGACGGGAGCTTCGGTTGTAGTTTTTGTCGTACGAATATATGTTGATTGATCATCATTGAAGGACATTGGTATTGTGGGATGGAACCATTGAATCTCCCAGTCACACCAGAATCTTACAAGTCAACGAAGGGAAGTACTTGAATTCAAAAATATTCATACAAGACACTTTTCTTCCATCGAAACAAGCTTACAGCACCAGGTTCAACCCCTGCTACAAGAAGTCGCTTACTTGGTAGCCTCGACGAATCTCGCTTCGGCCTCTTCAAAGTTGATTACACTCCAGATGGCCTTGAGGTACTGTATGGAACCCAGATCACACGTATCATTAGACACCGTTATAAGAAGGAAGTTCGAAACTTACATCGACTTTGACGTTGAGATATTGGAGGTAGAAAGCGTGTTCCCAGATATCGACGCCGATGATTGGGAAGTGAGTAAGGAGAGGATCTTGGTTGGCGGTGGTGGTGATCTCGAGACGCTTAGTCGTCGGGTTAACGCCCTATTCCCGCAGAAAGATACAGGTAAGTCTCAACAGGTTACGTCGGACTCATAATATGCAACTTACGAGCCAGCCCCAACCGGATCCTTGGATACCGGCGGTTGTGGCATTGAACTGCTGGATGAGGTTCTCGAGGGAACCAAAGTTCTGCTCGATAGCTTGCTTAAGAGGGCCGTCTTTGAGGGCTCCTCCGTTTCCTTTCTGCACTGAAGCAGAGGGAGCGAGGTTCTTCCAAAAGAGA